TTAGGCACAACTACCCCCCCCCCCCCAAAAAAAATTACAGTCGGTAACTTTCAAATTGGGTTCATCAGCTAGCTGGAGCATTAAAACGCATCTATGAGCAATCAACTTCTATATTACAACTTTGGTGATTCTCCGTCGTTTCCTCGAAATCCTGATAAAATGATTTCATGGATTCTGATTTTTATAGGAATAAGAGGGTGAATATATTATTAATGCTTCCCAATCACTGTCGCATTTAAAATATAGATATTCCATTGTCAATTTCTTTCCTTTGGAATAAATATGGAGCACAAATACATCCTTAGAGCTAGTTGCGTCCATGAAGGCCTAAAGCCTGTTATATATAGGTTACCTCTCCATACGAACCCTGCATTGCATAACATTTCCAACTTCCAACACACACTATCTCATCTTTCTCTCTCTCTCAATCTAACACTGAAACAATGAATCATCCTTTTCTAGCAGCAGCTGAAAGCTCAGCAACTACCACCAAGATGATGCCTTTGAGAGAACAAGTCTCTAAAACAGAGAACCCACATAATCAAAATATGAGCCTCCCCATCTCGGAGCTCTCTGGGGACTCAGAGGAACACTTGGCTCAAATGATCACCAGCTTTGCCCAGACTCTGTTGCACAGCAAAATGCGTTGTCTGGGTAATTTCCTTTTTCATCATCTTTTCCATATACCGCTCATTATGTTGTACATAGTGCACAACACCTCTAACTGCATTGAATTTAAATAAATGCTAATAACTATGTTGTCTTATAATGAACCGACCGAGCAGGCTATCCCGCAAATCTCGAGTTTAACTATAAAGCATTGGCACCGTTGCTGCATTTTCACATCAACAATGCTGGCGATCCATTTGTGGGAAACTGCTTCACTCTCAATTCGGCAGCTTTTGAGGTTTGTGTTCTTGACTGGTTCGCTAGCTTGTGGGGGATTGACAAGAACCGGTACTGGGGATACGTTACCACCGGGGGAACTGAAGGCAATCTTCACGGGATTTTAATCGGGTAAGTAGGTCTGATCTCTGATATATGAATGTTTTATTGATAATATATATACGAGGTTGTACTAATATATATATATATATATATATAGGAGGGAACAATTGCCGGATGGGATTCTATATACGTCAGAAGAATCACATTATTCGCTGTCGAAGACAGCAAGAATGTACAGAATGCCATGTGTGAAGGTAGCCACACTGAGATCTGGTGAGATTGATTGTTCTGATCTCAAAGCTTCACTTCTTGCTCACAAGGACAAGCCTGCCATCATCAGCCTCAATATAGGTCCCTCTTTGCTCCTCTCTCTCTCTCTACACATGTATAAATATACTACCTCCGGTCCTAAATATAAGAGTTAGTTGATTAATTTGAGTATATTAAGAAAATAAGTTAAGTTAATTATTTGTATTAAATAAGTGTTGTGTTTTTTAAAATATCCTTACTAATTAAGTTTATTAACTAGAACTACTATTATTAGAAGGACTCGAGAAAAAAAAGATAAATATGAGAGACAAAGTAGATTACGGTCTTATATTTAGGACCAAAATAAAAGTCAAATAGGGTCTTATATTAAGGACCGGAGATAGTATATAATACACACATATATTTATGTCACACACATCTAATAAAACAAACATGTCAGTTGCTTGCTTACATCTTCTATTTATAACTGATTTGGACAATCCCTTAAATGTTATCTAATCTTTCTGTGCAGTCATATGCTCAACAAGAGTTTTACACACACACATTTATTGAATAACTTATGAACTAATGTGAAAGGATAATTTTTTATTTCAGGAACAACTATGAAGGGAGCTATTGATGATGTGGATCTTGTGGTACAAACACTCGAAGAATGTGGTTTTACTCGTGAACGCTTCTATATCCATTGCGATGGAGCTTTGTTTGGACTCATGCTTCCTTTCATTAAAAAAGTGAGTGACGTTTTGTTGACCAAAAATAAAAAAAACAAGTGAGTCACGTTTTAAAATATTCATATTCAGAATCCGGTTTTGGTATCAAAGACAATTGGATCGAATTTGAATTCTTTGCAATTAAAAGATCGATCAAATGGCTCCGAGCAATTGCGAAACTACAGTAAGAGTATGGGGTGAAAATAAATGCCTAATATTTGGCCCAAACTATGTATTCTTAAATAAGATTGTTAATAAGGAAGATTTACTATATGTAGTCCCAAAGAAGTGATTTAATTATAAAAATTTTTAATAACAAGGGAGTAACATAAACCTAGTATTATTTTTTGTAAAAAAATTTGTTATTGAATGCTCCTTATCAGTTATTATTGGACTTTTGGGTGATTGAATCCCTTTCTAGGAAATTTATACTAATTATTTCATTAATAATTATTTGAAATATAATTTATCTATATGATCTCCCCTTCGATCCATTCCTCTGAAAAGAGTCTAAAGGCACATTAAGATCTAAATTCATTGAATTTAGATTTAGATAGTTTGAAATTTAAAACTTGGAAAATTTCACCGTCTGAAGCTAGTTTAAGTGCTGAAGGGGTGGCAAGTATATGAGTGAATGTTAAAAATTTAAATTCTCTTCGTGTAACCAAAAAAAAAGACTTACAAAGTGTGAATTAAGGATGTATATAAACACATTCCCTACTTCTTGGGTTACATCTATCAAAAAAAGGTTCTGAACCTAACTCTTGGTAAGATCTACTCACGTTTGTGCAATATTTTCTAACAAGAGAAGATTATAATGGGTTGACAGGCACCGAAGCTTAGTTTCAAGAAACCCATTGGCAGCATATCTACTTCGGGGCACAAGTTTATAGGATGTCCCGTCCCTTGTGGAGTTATAATAACTCGTTTGGAATACATTGATGCCATGTCCAGTGATATTGAGATCATAGCTTCAAGGGACGCCACAATCACAGGAAGCAGGAGCGGCCACGCTCCGATCTTCCTCTGGTACGCTCTGAAGAAGAAAGGCTTATTAGGCCTCAAGAAGGAAGTGGAGCAGTGTATGAGAAATGCAGATTACCTGCGAGACAAGCTACGGGAGGCAGGAATCGGTGCGATGAAAAACGAGTTTAGCAACATCGTAGTGTTTGAGAAGCCTGAAGATGATGAATTCGCTCGCAGGTGGAGTCTGGCTTGCAACGGAACAATGGCGCATGTGGTGGTGATGCAGCACGTGACTGTTGAAATGTTGGACTCCTTTGTCTCTGAGTTCCTTCAATTCCCATCCTTTAAGCACCAAAATGGACACAAGAATCAGCCATACATCCCTGTTAATCGCCGATGATGAACTTGGTGGTGGCAACTGATCTACTTGTTCTACAGGAAGACCGTCGTAAAAAATAATAATAATAATTAAAAAAAAACAGTACGATAAGACGCATCGCATTACTGTTGACTACAGAGGAAATCGTGGGTTCTTTGTTCAAAAGTCGGGGACAAAAAAGCGGGCGGGTGTGTTTGCGGGTTCCTCTCTCTGATGAGGGAGGATTAAATTGTTAGTGAAAACGGGGGAAAAGAGAACCCCAGCTACCTCCTACTTTAGGTGCCGTTTACAAAGTACTCCTCCGGTTCTTAATATAGGACTCAATTGTTGAGTTGGTTTTAGTCATAAATATAAGACTTATTTTTCATATTTATCAGTTTTTTCTAAATTACCCATATGGATACTTCCTCAACTATAATCAAGCAGAAGAGGAAGATAGGGTATTAAGAAAGATGACTATAGTGTTTTAGGAAAAATGTGTCACATTTCTTATAATTAATTAACTTACCTAACTTCTTTAATCTAATTAAATTAGTTAAATGGATCTTATATTAAGAACAGGAGGAGTATTAAAAATAAGGAATATGAATTGTGATTGTAATTGGCAAAAGCATTAAAACAATATTTAGCATGAGTAATTATTTATTATATGGGATTGGACAAACTCATAGAGGCAGACTTGGGGAATATTACTTTCCCCCATAATATTTTCCAATCCCACATACATAGATTTGGCTGAGCCCATGTAACAAGGAATTTCTTATGTTAAACACTCTTTTAATATATTTTTATAATACTAATCCCAATCCCTATCTCTAATTTTTAATGCTTCTTACCAAATGGAATCTTAGGTTCTGTTTGATACGAAGCATTGGAAATGAGGGATAAGGATTGTAATTAAAATTGAAAACATGTGTTAAAAGAATATTTAGTATGAGTAATTTCTTATCACATGGAATTAGACAATCTCATGTGGGTGGGATTGGAGAATACCATCTCCCCTCATGGTATTCCCAAATCCCACATATATGGGATTACCTAATCCTAAGTATTACATAATTACTCATACTAAATACTTTTTTAATATAGTTTTTCACTCTCAATCTCAATCATTATCCCTTATTTTTAATATTTCGTACCAAACATGACCTTAATTTCCTCTTGTATACGTTGTCAATGTTGTTTCCCCCCCATATTTCAAGAATAAAATTTGAGTTATTTTTACTTGGTTTTGGTTACCGAAAATTTTAATTTTAATTTTTAAATTATACTATTTTTTTTAATTTTTTTATATTTAAAATATTATTTTTATTCTTTTCAAAAATAAGAATAATCTATATTTAATTTTGAGACTTTCAGTAGGCCTAATTTAATTTAATTGTTGCACACTGTACTGCACGTGTATTACAGTAGACCTAATTGATATCCATCTTCATTGTTACGGCACAACACAGAATTCCGACAACTGATCATGCGGTCCCCCCCCCCCCCCAAAAAAAAAAAAAACACACGCATATTAAGTAACAACGAAAAATAAATTTGTATGTAAATTCATCAGATTTATACAAATATATTCATACGTTCTTAGCAGAAGGGATTTAACAACGATGAGAGAATTAATTGAGGAAAAAAGAAAGAAAATTAAAAGTTGACATGACATTATAATACACACAGTGCATAGCATAAGCTAACAAAAAGACAAATTTATCCTCATTCATTTTGTGAAATCATTCAGTTCGGATCTGTATGGTTGTGGAGCACTCCAACGTAGTGTCCTCTTTCGGATCTTCTTGTGTGGTTTCATGGCTTTCGACTTTATCTTTGGGTTCTTCTTGTCTGGTTTCATTGCTTTGGACCTTTTTGCTTTCTCTGTTCTTCCCCCACAACACAACGTACAGTCCAACCACCAACAAAACAGTTCCACCAATACTGCAATCATAAATGCGATTTTGTTTATCATTTTCCCCTGAATTTGGTTGGAAAAAAAAGACCGGCCAGAAGAAGCATAGTATATGATAAAATCATTGTGATTTTTTAAAGGTGAAAGAATATAATGAACCTTCCCCATCGAAGTGGCTCTTTCCATATCAGTGTTGACAAGGAGGCAGTGATTACAAGAGAAAGAGGAATGAACATTGCCGTGAACACTGCTCCTTTCTCCTCTATAGAGCACAGTTGAAGCCAGAACACCACCCCTGTTCCAATCACACCCTTCAGACAGAATGCAATATTCTTCATTAGTCTATCATCAGATACAAGAATTGCTGTTACTTACTTAACAATTTCATCTTATTCTTTCTTTCAAATAGTATAGTATCAGATATATATATATATATATATATATATTTTTTATATAAACATACACTGTAAACCACAGAAAGAAGGTGAATGTTCCATCCAAGTTTCCATCCAGAAGGATCCCTTTCCATTATCACCGCCAAAACAGATGACTGTATACAGCAGAAGAAGCACTGGAGGCATGTCATGCGAACTTTGGCAACGTATTGTTTTACTACAAGTCCCTGAAACAAAGCAGTTTTAATTTGTACACAAATTTGTTTAAACATGAGGGAAGGATTGATTATGTGATATTTGGATATTAATTAAACACGTTATTATTCATGCATATATATCACGTACGGAGTCTTTATATAAAATGAAATTAATGTACTGTTCATATGAATTTCATGGTATGTATATTGATATATTGACCTTATATATTTGTATCCAATCAAAGCAATGAGACTAACAACATACCTGCAAAACAAGCCATAAAGACAAAGCAGTGGTTCCTGAGAGCAGAAAAGCAAGTCCTTTGATTTGATCTCCTTGAGAGTGACCTGCTGCCATTATTGAGTGAGAATCTGTTGGATGCGACTTCATGACACTTACTGGAGGCCCTTTGACCAAACCAAATATTATTGCGCCAGAAAGGCACAAAATAGAACCCAAAATCTTGGCCATGCCATGTAGATGCTTCAAGGAAAGGCTTTCCACCCTAAAACACATTATTAAAACCAGATCACTCTTTTCTTAATTAGATGGGAAAATGTGTGTGTGTGTGTGTTTAGAAATAAGTCTCATTCATTACCTGAATATAACAGCCAAGATGAAAGTAATGACGGGGACTGTGTTTGTGGAGGCTTGAGTAAATGTTGCAGAAGAATAGTTGAGTCCGACAATGAAAAGGTTTGAACCCAGTGTTAACCTGAATATTAAATATAATTAAATGGCCTTGATAATTCAGCAATCAAATTGCTAGAGCACGTGTACGTACTCATGATCATAAAAACAAGTCATGTCTTATGGGCTCAGGAAAATATAAGATCTATATATATTCACTTTCTTACCCAACTAAAGTAAGAAGAAAGATTTTGCCCAATAATTTGTATGACAGCGGAGCACCCAGGTTACTGCAGATTTAAGAGACAAACAAGCTTGTTAGTTTATTAGGTTTAGCTAGGTCAAAGGATGTTTCAATGGAGGTGCTGAGAAATACGAGAATTAAAGGAACAGGTAGCAAACCGTTCTAAGAATGTGAAGGGAAACAAGGCAACGGCGGCGAATGCTTGGCGGTAAACAACAAACACATAAGGGTTTAATCCCTTGGACATTGCAGCTTTGGCTAAAAGAGTTAAGCCTGCAGTAATGAACTGTATGGCGACCATTGCAAGGTAAGCCTTATACTTTGCCACCAGCGACATAAGCGAACTCTTCATATTTCTTTGGTTCTTTGGTTTTTTTTCCCCCCCTCTCTTTCTCTTCCTTTGCTTTAATTTCTTCCTATGACGATCGAGCTTCACCAGACAAAGAAAATCTTGGTTAGATATAGAAGGACATAGTATCTGGCACCTGCTTGTTTGTACCTTTTGTATTGTATTGAACAGCAGACGACAAAATTTAATGATGCCTTAATCATACTTGTTGACACAGCAAATGGACTTCTTTTGCAGACAACAATTATCAAGAACGATCATTGTCCGGCACGACAATTTTTTCAATTATATACGTACCTTGAAAGTGATAAATATAGTATTATATATTTCTCATATTTTGTACAATGTATCGAGGACCATATGGTCGCACCCAAATTTAGATTTCCAAGTGAAAAATCAAACAAAATAGGATTTCCAACCAAAATTTTCTTGAAAGAAAGTTTTGAAAAACCTTAGAAAAAAAAATATGATCTATGAAAAGAGAAATATGGACAATGTGTTAGGTGTCCCTAGCACCTTTGCATGAGAATAATGGTTGCAACATGTTAACTACATTAAATGAATATGGCCTTGATTATATTATAATTACTCTCATTAAAACAATGTAAAAGAAATAAAAAAATTATTTATTTGTAAGTTAAATTTGGCCTAAAATAAGAACTTAAGGCTTTTATATCCTTTAGAGAGAATCGAAGTTTCACATAATTTGGGGTAAAATGTGTGTCATCTAGTGTATATATAAATATATATATTTAAGAGATTTTATTTTAGGGGAAATACCACTTGGACCCCAAAAGATTTAAGTCCTAATAATTTTTGCTGAAATATGAGTTGCATATATTGCAAATAGGGAAAATCGCAAAAAAAAAAACCCCTAGAATTTGAAAAATACAAATAGGGACCCGTGACAACTTCATTATGGGTTTTGACAACTTCAGGATATATTATTATTATCAAAAGCCATAGTGAAGTTGTCACGGGTTCCTATCTGTGTTTTTCAAATTCTAGAGTTTTTAATTACGATTTTTCCTTGTAAATATCTGTAGATACGGGAGTCTCATCATATATCATCATGGTCATACACGACTTGGGATTTGCAGCAAACAAAACCTCTGCAATATCAAAAAGAAAAATCTCTTGAAACAATCACAGGCATAAGATTATAATAAGTGCTCCATAGAGTTACGTATAAGTACAAAGTGGGGATCAATGAACCAAAGCGACATAAATATTAGATATAGAGATTAACAATTCACCTTCACAGAAACTTCCCCTTCCACCTTCTTTCTCCTTCAATCTCTCTTTCTCTTGGGCTTTCGAATGTCGCTTCTTTGGATCTCTCCACTATTCTCAGTTTCTTTTTGTTCCTCCCTACTCCCTTCTTCCTCAATATATATACACAGAGAGAGCAACAACATTTCGAAGGTCAATAAAAGCTATTGATTTCCTGCTTTCAATGATAATAAAAATATCTCACAAGAATGGAATATAAAATTTAGAAAGATCGATCTACATTTTGCGTTTTAGTATTTTCATTCCTTATGAAGTAATGAAAGGCGGGAACGGGATTGAAGCCTCTAACAAAATCTACTAAAGATCACATTGATCTGAGTTCCTTGTATGATAAAAATGACTATTTTTAGTTTTAGTTGGTGTTTTAAGGATGTCGAGAACACTTAATGAAAAGATTCTTTGAAAAAATCACCCATATCTAGTTTATCACTGACCTTATAATTTGATCTTATTTTTATTAATTTTCCAACTGCTGCAAAACATGGTATCTTTCCAAGATTTAGTTCATTTATGTTACATATCTTTGACATATTATACATGAATATAAAATATTTTGTCTCCCGAAAATGATGCCTCATGAGATCTAGTTACTTCCTTGGGGCTAATAGATGCAGGATAATGATTCATCTAATGTAGAGAAAGTGAATGCACCTCTCTCTGTTCGATGAAGAAACGATTATTGACAATTGAGTGTGCACATTCAGTATATACGATGAACACATTATGTATATATACAAAAATAAAGGATCCCTTACTAACTAAGTAGCTAAGTAGAAGCAAAGGGGATCAATGAGATGAAAAGGACTTTTTTTTTTTTTCCAATAGACAATAAATTGGTATTGTTAATGAATGCTACCTCTGCTCTTTAATATAAGAATTATATAATTAATTGACATATATTAAAAAAATAGTTAAGATGGTTATTTGTAATAAATATATGTTAATTTTTTAAAATATTTTTTTAATTACGTACTTTGTAATTGACTGTGGATGGGAAATAATTTCGGTCATCTATAGATGGGATTATGATTATCGGATTGTCAATATCGTTATGAGGCCCAAAAGGACTAAATCCAGATGGCCTTACCCCTATCTGATTCCGACCCAAAGAAAGGAGAACTTTGACCGTGAGATCCAAGGCAGAATATCACGAAGCTCCCATCAAACAGATGTGCGCTTTTTCTTTTTTGGTAACAAATGTGCGCTTTTGGAACTGATCGACGGATAGCGAAGAAGATGGCACATAATCTACTGTCATCTAGTAGAGAAGCACGCATCCGATGCTATATGAGAAAAGTACATAATCTTTCCTCACATTTGCGTGCATTGATTTGTTACTCATTCCGTCGGTAAAATGTCAGCTATTTATGTAAACTTTAATCATTCAATATTTCATCAAAAAATTAAATTTCTATTTAAATTAGACAACTAAAAGATTATTCTTATTTCATATTCTATAATTTCTATTAGAATAAAAATTATGAAGAAATTTGAATGATTTAACTTTTCACTTGGAACAAAAATTATTCATTTTATCTTTGTGATCAACAAGTAATTCAAATTAGAGTGCACCCGGTAGTATAATTAAAACCAAAATAAACCGTTAATCACATTTTAACCTAATGATATGAAAGCTCCCTAATAAGTTGGGGGCCATAAGTTTGGTTTTGTTTATACTATAAAAAATACTTCTCAAGTTCTAAATGTAAAACCCATTTTACAGTTTAATTTATATTAAAAAATAAGTTTTAGATTTAAGATGGATGAGTACAAAATTTACATGATGCAAATTTCGATTTTATCTCCAAGGGGATTGGACGGACATAATATTGATTACAACAGGGAAACAGAAAGCAAATATGCAAAAATGTGGATGTCTTCATTCATTTTGCATGCGTCTTGATTGTTTTTACTAAACTTGAACTACTTTAATCTAAACGTAAATTCAAATTAAATTGTGTTTCGAAAAATGTCAAAAACATTATTATAAATTTTATTTTATTTTTTTATTTGGGAATCAAAATATTTTTAACATTCTATTATGTCTTTTAAAATAATATATTCTTAAAATATTGAATAGTATAAATTTGATTTGAAGTAAGTATTGCTTATTTACAATTGAAATTAGCAGATCATTCCGATCAGAGTGCGCACACACACACACACAGATATATATTGGAGAGTTATAAGCAGAAATATAATAGACTTTTAGTATATATCTCAAGGTGCCATAAATTTACACGTCAAAATATCCACCTTATTAATAACAAAACAACACAACATTTTTTTATTAAAACAAAAAAGAACAATAAGAACATGTTTGGGTTCCATCACATGTAACAAGAAGAAACTACTTTGTTGAGGGTGCTATACTTCTAGACACTGGGGCGTTGTGTGTTGTGGGAATGTCCAATGTAGACGTGTGATTGTCGTCTCTTAACTGTCGTGTGCTTTCAATTTCATGGCTTCGTTCCCTTTTACTTTCTCTGTTCTTCCCCCACAGCACGCTGTAAAGTCCAACCACCACCAAAATCATCCCACCAACACTGCAACAAATTAAAACCAACAAACAAATTCATCATTTTTAAGTAAATTTTAACGTGTTTTTATCTTAAAGTAGATGAAATGACAGCAATCGATCTTCTAAAAACAAACTTAGAAGGAAATACATATGTACCTTCCCCAGTGAAGTGTCTCCCGCCAGGCAAATGCGGAGAAAATGGCAGTGATTATAAAAGCAAGAGGAGTGAACAATGCTGGGAATACTGCACCTTTCTCCTCGATAACGCACAGTTGGAGCCAATAGGAAACCCCCGTTACAACCAACCCCTGAAACCACAACGCGTTAATTATTAATTACTGCTTGTAATTATTAAGTGATATAATTAAAAATAACATAATTAATTTATAATCAGGATTAACATACACAGTAAGCCACAGCAAGAAGGTTAAGATCCCATCCAAGCTTCCATGCTGAAGGATCCCTCTCCAATATTACAGCCAAAACAGCTGTTTGTGTACAGCAGAAGAAGCACTGTAGAGCTGTGAAGCGAAGTTTTGCTGGGTATTTCTTCACAACAAATCCCTGAAAACAAGTTAGTTAATTTGCTATATTTCTGTTTAAATCCATCAGCTGGCTATACCGTATCTGATCTAATTAAGCAATTATATATATATATATATATATATATATATGAGACTAATATTGATATCATATACCTGCAAAATAAGCCACAAAGCCATAGTGACGTTTGATGAGAGCATCATAATAACTCCTTTGATTTGATCTCCTTTAGAGTGAGATCCTACAAGTGAATGAGAATTATGCTGCTCATTTGATGCGTGCCCCTTTGCGGAACCCATTACTGGAGGCCCTTTGACCAAAGCAAATATTATTGCCCCACCAAGGCTCAAAATAGAACCCACAATCTTGGCTTTCCCATCCATTTGCTTCATGGAAACGCTTTCCACCCTGACATTTTTTAGCAGTTTGTGCATGGCTTAAATCTCATGAAAAACTACTGATTTTTTGAAACCATGAAGTCGGTTTAATCTCAAGATATATGTTTGGGATGACTTTTGAGAAAGGTAACCCCTACTCCGAAGGCCAAGTAATTGAAGTTGAAAAAACTTTTTTCTGACATTTGGCTCTTGGCTTCTAACTTTTTCTTAAATTTGAAAATTCTAAAACTGATTTTTCAATCAATATACATCTAAATAAATTCGTCAGACTGATATATTTATAGAAGTCTATCCAAACGTAAATTAAGTTATACTAATTGAGTTTTACTCTAATTTCAGTTCAGTTGGGATAAAAGCGGTTTTTGCAAACCATAATCCAAACAAGTTATATTCGTACCTGAATATAACAGCCATGATGAAAGTGACGGCCGGGATAATGTTTGCGAAGGCTGAAGCCAATGTTGCAGAGACATAGTTCAGTGAAGCACAGTAAAAGTTTGTAGCTAAAGTTAACCTGAATGTAATTTAAGCACCAGCACAAGGTTAATTAGTGCAGAGACATATATATAATGATTAAGACTCTTGTTTGATGAATTGTCGTCAAGATTGTTCACAGATTAATTAGCCGTGATTGATATATGATGAAAACAAGAGATACTTTCATACCCAACCAAGGTAACGAGAAAGATTTTGCTGAGTACGGTGAATGTCAAGGAAGTATCCTGTTTACTGCAGATATAAAAGACAAAAACATAAGCTTGATAATTGAGCTTAAGCCTAGGTAAAATGATTATTTGTTAATGGAGGTAACTGAGAATACAAAAAGGAAGAGTGAAGAAAAGGACCGGTCAAAAAATGCGAAGGGACTCAAGGAAACGAAGGCAAAAGCCTGCCGGTAAACAACAAACACAAAAAGGTTCATTCCCTTAGCAATTGCAGCTTTTGATAACAAAGCCAAGCCTGCGCCAATAATCTGAATGATGATCATCGCAGCATAAGCCTTATATCTGCCCACCAACCTGAGTAAACTCCTCATTTTTCTTTTATTTGTTTTCCTCTCGGCCTTTACTCACTTTTCATGAGATTTGCACAAAGAAAAGCTTAATTGGTTAGATGCAAGCAAAACTGATATATAGCCTGGTATATAGGAGTCTATGGCGCAGGGTTGCTTGTATTGTCTGGAGCACTTCTAGCGAGTTATTGTAACAATATACAGGAGAAACAAGTACTGTGTGGCTTTACGATGAAACCACGCGTGTTTTGGTAATTTTTAAGGTGAAATTAAACCAGAATACGAAAAACAATGATTTTGAGCTATTTGTGTTATTAAGACAATAAATAGGTTCAGATGCAACTTTTGAATACACAAAATATCAATTAAGAAAGTCACTTATTGCTATTTATCATAAAGTTATCATATTTGCAAGCTGTACGTTAATGGTTTAATTTTCATATTTTAATAAAAGGTACAAAGGCTCGGCTTGTTTGTTTGGTTCTCATCGATGGATATGATTCATCCAACGTAGAAAAGGCACTTCCCTCTGTTCAGTGAACAAATTGTTCAAGTGCCAATTCATTATGTACAATGAACTAAAGCAGATAAATAAGATTCCAAAATATCCCTATATTTTTGTCAAAAATATGATTAAAAATAATATTTTACCAGCTTAAAAATGTTTAAAAGTTAAAAGAATGTTGTCTTATTACTCCTAACAAAACAGAACTGAAAGATTTGGTTATATTCTAATGTAATGATTCAGCTGACGTGGAAAAGGCACTTCCCTTTGTTCAATGAACAAATGGTTCAAGTGCCAATTCATTATGTAAAATGAACTAAAGGATATAAATAAGATTCCAAAGTAAGTATCCATATAATTTTGTCAAAAATATCATTAAAAATAACATTTTACAAGCTTAAAAATGTTTTCGAGTTAAAAGAATGTTGTCTTATTATATTACTGCTAACAAAAAAGAACTGAAATATTTAGTTATATTCTAATAAATTAATGTAATGATTATGACTCTAAAAATATTATTACGTGCCAGAAGATTATCTTGCGGGAAAAAAACGACTTGATGATATTTCGAAACAACTTTTGGTCATCAGTGACATCATTCCTACAAAAATGACAAAGCCTATGAGGCTATAACTGGGAAATATATTATCTGCTCAATAATTAATTAAATCATTTAGGAGGCCTTCTAACATCTAAACTACTAAAATTTTAAGCAGCTTGGAAAAAACTTAATGGTATGAGAAAGCATGTGAAGGTTTATATATGTGATGTCTTATGCGGATTGAATCATTCTTTCGTTTTGTTTCGAAATCAATAATCAAATAATATATTTATGTAAATAATTTATCCAAAGCCCCATTACACGTAAGTGATAATTAACAGTAATTCAAATTAGAAAGCAGAAGAGACATGAAGCATAGATAAAAAATTTTGTAACACAACATAAAACTATCTTTACATACATGCAGATATTTTGATTAACAAAATAACTAGATTTAGAATTAATATATATATGTTCATTATATTCTTAGCACAAGAGACTTCATCAACCCACTAACAAAAAGACAAATTTCTCTTAATTCATTTTTGTGAAACCAAACAGTTCATCAGATCTGTGAAGAGTACTCCAATGTAGTGTCCTGATCTTTTGATGGTTGGGTGTTTCCAGGGTTTATTTGGACCTTTTCAGTTTCTCTGTTCTTTCCCCATAGCACACTGTAGAGTCCAATCACCAGCAAAATAGTTCCCCCCACACTGCCATATATTAAAGCAACGAACCACACATCATTTTTCTAATTAATTCACTCCTGAAACTTCATCCAACTCAACTATGTTACATCAAGATGACATTCTCTTTTTTCTTTTTCTTTTTTTCTTTTTTGCCGGAAGAGAAGAAATCTTAACATATCATAATTTAATGGAGAATTTGGTAAGTAATAAACCAAAAATAAAAGCATCAAATTCTTATAATGTTAAGGAATATATGTATGGACCTTCCCCAGTGAAGTGATTCTCTCCAAAAAAGTGCAAAGATGGCAGTGATTATGAGGGCCAGAGGAGTAAACATGGCTGTGAATACTGCGCCTTTCTCCTCTACAGTGCAAACTTGCAGCCAATACGTAATTCCTGTCACAATCACACCCTGAAATAATGACAACGGATTAATTTGGAAGTATGTTATAACAAGGCATTTAAAGTGATGTTGTTCTTATTTAACTTCACCCTAAACAATCAGTAAATCATAAAAAAAGTCAGCTCTAATTAGTATCAATTAACGCTAATGCTAAGCAAAGAGTGAATCCAGTTTCTAGTGAGTTCGTATATATCTCTCACACTGATATCAAATTTATTACTCTATAATTGGTTTAAAGGGCATATGCATATAAATTAAGAAAGATATTAAATGAAAATTTAATTGAAAAAAAAAACTAGTTAGATCGATTAGATCATAAGAAGTTAAATGAGTTATGTTCTGTAACAAGATTAAGAAAAATCAAACCGTATATTTCCTGTCATAATAATGACTGTTAGATGACATGACTTAGAAACAATGGGCTACGAAAATGACGTTCTCCTATTTCCTTGGAGAAAAATGCATCCACTGTGGCTCAAAATGATAATTTCACGTTTTGCACTACACTGTAAAGCGTAACAGAGCATTTTGGTCACTGATTTGAAGAGATATGAGATAGATAACCAATTGTCCACAATAGTCTAGGCAACACATTATTAGCCATCTTTAGAAAGAACACATTTAATTTCTGTAAATAGAAAAGAGAAACTTGTGGCAGATGTTCTTTTGACTTGGTATTATACAATCTTATAGATAAAGTGGGGTCTAAATTCAACATACCTAGTTAAACATTAGCTAAATGTAAACACAAGGATGGCATAAAAGCATACACAATAAACCACAGAAAGTAGATGAATGTCCCATCCAAGCTTCCACGCTGAAGGATTCCTTTCCGCTGTGACAGCCAAAACAATCGTCTGTATGCAGCTGAAGAAGCACTGCAGGGTAGTGAGGCGAAATTTTGCAGGGTATTCCTTTACAATAAATCCCTGAAACAAATAAATTTGAGCACAAGCTCACTCAGAAGGAATATACTACCTCTATCTTTAATATAAGATCTTGTTTGACTTTTATTTTGATCCTAAATATAATACTCCAATCCACTTTGTCTCTAATAATTATACATTTTTTTCAAGGTAGTTCTTTTAATAATTGTAGTTCTAGTCAGTACACTTGATTAGCAAAGACATTTTAGGAAAGACAACACGTATTTATTATAAATAACTAACTTAACTTATTTTTTTAATATCCTCAAATTAGTCAACTAGCTTTTATAATTAGGACTGGAGGTAATATTATATATCCATCATATGCTCTTGAGATGTTGAATATCGACCTTAGAGCAACACTTTATTTGATCTAACATACCTGCAAAATAAGCCACAAAGACCAAGCAGTGTTTGCAGAGAGCATCATAATAACTCCTTTAATTTGATCTCCTTTAGAGTGAAGTGCTGCTATTGAATGAGAAACATTCTGCTGATTTGAGGTATGCCAATTTATGAAAGCTATTGAAGGTCCTTTGACCAAAGCAAATGTTATTGCCCCACAAAGGCTCAAAACAGAACCCAAAATCTTGGCAATCCCATGCATATGCTTCACGGAAATGCTTTCCACCCTGACATTTTAAAACCAGACACTTTTTTTTTCAGCTTAGATGACCAAAGCAGGAATACACACACTACGCATATTACTGTTTGATAGATGAATAAGTCTCACTTACCTGATTGTAAGGGCCATGATGAAAGTAATGGCAGGGATGGTGTTTGTAGTGGCTGCAGCAAATGTTGCAGACGTATAGTTGATTGCAACATAGTAAAGATTGGAACTTAGTGTTAACCTGAATAAGCATGCAAAGACATATTGGATAATTAGAAAATATATTTTGTAATCTGTATATTTCTGTCTTTTTACTTGCCTGATAAAAGCATATATAGTACTCATTAGATCTTTCCACAAGCTATCGTTCTGATATTATTTGGCTTTGACAGTGGGAAAAAGATCAATTTTCAAAGATTAAGACTTTTTGATCAATTTTGAATGATTAAGACTAAACAGACTTAATAATTCAGAATAAAAGCAGATGCGTACCCAACTAGGGAAACAAGAAAGATTTTGCTCAGCAAGTTGTATGACAAGGGAGCACCTTGTTTACTGCAGATTTAGGAGATAAACAAAATTGTTAGTTTGAGTTAGGTAAAATGATTTGTCAATAATGGAGATGCCAAAAATATGAAAAAGCAATGGCGAAGAACCAGTCGAAGAATGCGAATGGAGACAGGGCAAGCGACGCGAAAGCTTGCCGGTAAACAACAAACACGTAGGGGTTCATTCCGTTGGCTATTGCAGCTTTGGACAACAAAGCCATGCCTGCATACACAAACTGAGTGAAGATCATTGCAACATAAGCCCTATTCTTGGCCACACAGCAAACTGAACTACTCTTCATTTCTTTGTTTCTTTTCCCCCCTTTCTGCCTTTACTAACTCTCTGCGAGCTCTGGACAAGAAAAACGTGCTTTTACATAGTTATTATATAGATATTTTGATGTTGAAACTCATCATTATATTATTGGGTTTAATGCTCACCCTTTTCCTACCCTAATTTTGTGCTGATTCATTTCCATGAATCGAACATCCGAAGTGGTGGAAAATGTGTAGTTCCACCCAATTCAAAAAGATATATGATGAGGCACTAGTGTCTTCTCAATAGAAGGACATAGCAGGATCCATCGGGGCACGCTTATATTTGTACCTTTTGTATGCAACAGACACAGTACAAATTAGGAAAAGTGTAAGTGGACAAAATTTGATTTTGACTTGTTTATGTCACCACAACTAAAGGGATTTATAGCCAATTCTTGTAGGCACCAAAACTCAATTAAGAAAGATAACTGATTAGCTGTCGGACCAGGAAATTGTTTGTTATCAGGTATCTATCTGTAATCTAGCGATCTGATATTTTTCTTTTTTGTTTTTGCCAAGTGCTACGAAACACAATATCTTATAAAGATTTTATTTAGTTAATTCTGTACATGTTACTATGACCATGGACAAGTGCATGTGACACAAGAATATAACGTAAAGTGAATCCCAATCAATGTCTCTGGTAGCTAGGGTGTTACTATAGATACTCCTTATAAACTTCACTTTTAGAGATAAGTCTGGTTTAAAATATAAGTTTTGTTTCTTAGCTTGTTTGAGTATTTATTACTTTTTTTTCCTATTTTGTTTTTAGTTAACTATATTTAGTACTCTCTATCTCATTAATATTATTCCCATATATTCTCTTTTATCATTTTTTTTATTTATTGCCTCTCATCTTTTCTCTTAATAAATTATGGCAGATTTAGAAAGAAAAAAAATTTATTTCAGACTATTTATTATTTTTAACTAGTTATAATTGCTAGCTCGTTAAATAATTTGTATTTGAAGCTTATATATAAGGCCAGAGGGAGTAGTTAAAAGAAATAGTAACCCTCAACCATTTCGTTTGTGTTTCTATACTCCCTTATATCCTTGATATGAACACTTAATTTTAACTGCTTCACATTAATTAAGAAAAGTAGTGAAAATGGTTTGTTTGGCCGTCGTTGATTAGTATTTATAAGCGCATAAATATGCAATAATTGCAGTGAATTATAAATATCCCGGTAAAGGACGGTAATAACAGTTACTATTTACACATATACTCGTGCGCATATTAAAAGGAGTAAAGTTTAAAATGGGAAGGACGATATGAATGACATATGCCACCAACTTATGCCATATAGCTACACCACTATAGGAAAGTCGAGTGGGCATGCACTAAGCATTTGAGTTATCGTTTTCAATATTGAAGCACTCTGCAAGACCCTACGATTCCATCAATACAGAACAAGGATATAGTGTCCTGTTTATCATCTCTGGATTTGATTCTTTTGTAGGTTAGCACAAATAGGCTTGCAGCCTAGGACTGAGCTCAGAAATCGCATTTATATTTCATGGTACCCTATTACAAACGAGTTTCACGCACCTTTCGTACTCTTATCTTTGATCTTCACAGTCTGATCTTGTTTAAGTCTCTGAATATCTTCCGCTTTTAAATATAAGACTCACTTTATAGTATAAATTATACTATAAAATGAGTTTTGTATTTAGAGTGTGATGAAGTATTATCTAAAAGATGGGGTACTGTCATGCTTAAAGATAGATTCATGTTTAAAGATGATTAAGAAGAAGAATTAAGGCTTATATGGCGATAATGGAAAGTTACAGGGGTCCCCCACTAAGAGTTTTGGCTTCGATCTAGGGCAACACGTACAGAGTAGCCTCATCTGCCATAAGAAACTGCTATTTTTCCCTCATGTGCTTGAAGAATGATTCACTGCTCGATGGGACACTTGAAAGAATACAATATGTTGTTATTTTCATTTCCAAATCAGCACATCCATATCATACAAGTAGTGACTTTAGGAACTTGCTAGAATATATATAAAAAACGAACTTTAATCAGAAAATAAATCAAACTCGTGACTCAGCATAAATATATATATGCTCAAACCATGAAGGCAGTTATGGGTGATTTATATGGTTTGGGTGGTTTGGGGTGTCACCCAAACACAGTCTTAGTAACGGAGGGAGTATTATCTGAGAAGATGGGGTACTGTCATGCTTAAAGATAGGGTACTGTCATGTTTAAAATGAGTTAAGAAGAAGAATTAAGGCTTATATGGCGATAATGGAAAGTTACAGGGGTCCCCCACTAAGAGTTTTGGCTTCGATCTAGGGCATACACGTACACAGTAGCCTCATCTGCCATAAGAAACTGCTATTTTTCCCTCATGTGCTTGAAGAATGATGGGTCACGGCTCGACTGGGACACTTGAAAGAATCCACACATATGGCCTTGTTATTTTCATTTCCAAATCTGCACATCCATATCATGGACAAGTAGTGACTTGCCAGGAACTTGCTAGAATATATAAACAAACGAACTTTAATCAGAAAATAAATCAAACTCGTGACTCAGCATAAATATATATATCCTCAGCTCCCAGTGAAGGCAGTTATGTGATTTATATGGAGACTGGTTTTACAAGTGAGACGACGTTGATTTCGTTGTTATCTTTCCATTAACTAGCTCGCGAGATAAAAAGCCAAGTAAATAATATAGATGAATTTTCATGAATGGCCTGTGCTTAATACATTCCATATAATGCTAGCATTTGAAACAGCCATAATATACATATATATATATATTATATATATATATATATATATACACACACACGCGCGGGCGAGCACACTTTGGCCTGTTGTAAAAGCAATAATGAGCGATGCACATTGAACACCAATAACTTCATTTTTTTTTCAAAAAGAAAAGAAAAGAAGAAGAATGCGCATTTGTTCTTTACAATTAATGGAATATTTGTGCTGTATTGTTGTCTAATGCACGTTGCTATCTAGGTCATGGGCCCACACGCCACTCAATAATAAAACACATGAAATATCAAGGGTTCATTAAATCATCATAGTGCGGACTAATTGCTTGGGATGATTTGATTCGAGAATACATGGCGTTATCTTTGTTAAGTCAACCTTTGGTGACTTAGGGTTCGAAATTAATTAAAGCTGAGGCATAAGACAGACCTCGCCTACTTGTTGGTGAAGGGGGCTTGCAAAAAATTACATTTTAGGTAGTAATTTTTAAAATTTTGACCCCATCGAGGGTGATATTATCATTTCACCTTAAAAGAAAAAGATATTGCTTCCAGGTTCCAACTAAGGGACGTGGGTGCCCCACATTTAAGACATATTAAAGGATTCAAAATTACTTTTTTTTTTCCTAACTATTTTCTTATGAGAGATAATCTTATTCGAAATATTGTCGGGTATTCTACTTTTAAAACGTATATTATTCTTTTAACATTAATTATTTGGGAAGCCCATAAAACCCAGAACCTTCGGTTATTAGTTAACACGGTCCAAGAAGCTAGTCCACTCGGAATATGAATTGGGCCGGATTCATTACCACTATGCCCAAGAAAGTAACTGAGCCCAAATTTTGATTGGACGGATCCTAGATCGGCCTGAGCCCAGCCCAAGCAACGTATTTTCTTCCCACTCAAGCTATTGAATAAAGAGCTTTATACATGTATCCTATCAAAATAAATTTATATAGAGCAGTCTTCTTTCTGGTGCATAAAAAAAAAAAAATTATATAGAGCAGTGCCCACTTCTCATAAAAGTAAATAGCACTTCTGGTTCTTGATATAAAACCTAATTTGTTGTTTAATTTGATTTTAAATATAAAATTCCAATTCATGTTGTATTTAATATTTATTTATTTTGCCATCAAGTAATCCTCATAATACTAGTAGTTGCATATATTAAGAAGTTACCATCAATGGTTAATTCAATCACACATGATTAATAAGGGTATTTTAGAAAAGATAACATCTATTTATTACAAATATCTAACTTAGCTAGTATTTTTAATCTTCCTAAATTAATCACCTAAATGTTATATTAAGGAGTGGAAGTATTTACGCATGATTGTTAAAATATGAATTTCATCTAATTTTATTCGGGGATCCAAGTAGGCAGACATACAAATGCAATGGCGATAAATACTCCAAAAAATAAAATTTATAATAAATTGAGCTATCCATAAATTAGCCACCTCCGGAGATTCATCACCTACACATTAATCATTCTTGTGGATGGGTCTTACGGCTTCAAACTGCCCTTAATCTGCCCCATCAACAACCCTATCGGGCTATTCCTTTAGCTTATAATTAATTAATGGTAATATAGTGGTTGTACAGTTGAAAAAGGAAAATGACATGCTAATACCGTAGTGAATTCCATTGCCTAAATTATAACACTGAAGGACCCTACCAGGTACTCTTTCTTATCCATAATACATGGGCTGGTTTAGGAGTTTAAATTTAATTCTAAATACCAGACATCGATTCATTTTCTTTTCATACTTATCATTCTAAATTAATTTTTATTTTTTGGTTGAAGTTAACAGTTTCAGTTAGCCGAAGAAGAGAAAACTAATTCTACAGCTATATAATAAGAGGATGACTAATTGAAAAACCAAAAGAGTGATTAAATGCAGAGAGAAGGGCAATTCAATAACTTCACCAGTGAAACCAAAGATATATAAATTAAATAACTAATCGCCAAATGAAAATTTCAAATTGAAACTCGAAATTAATCTCCAGAAGAATAAAGTCATGTCAAAAGGAGGCGTGATGAAGTTGGGAGCAAACGGGTTAGTAAGAAGTTTGGTACATGACAACATGGAAGATTGACCCTAGATTTAATATCCTGTATAAACACTGAGATTCCACCTGTTAATTACTTTTCTACTGTTTTTAATTATAACACGAAAAATCAGTGAATTGTAATGGGACATGATCAGGCGAAGGCCCGATTATAAAAAATATCAGGGGTTAAAGCAGATATATGTAAACCTGAATCATTATATAATTGAAGTCCACCACAAGATCCATAATAAGTGGGTGTTGGTGTGTGAATTATTTAGGGAAATTAAAGTAATTAAGGAAGATCAATGACAGAGAAGTTACAGAAAGGAAAGAATAGAAGAGGGGGTGAAACCCAATGGACGAAAATGATTAGCAGAGCTTCCATAATTCACATGCCCTCCAATATATGTGAAAATTAGAGTTGGATGGATGAGTTTGCATGATTTTTTGTTAAAGTTGGCCCATAAATTGATGATTGCACGCAATAGTTAAGTTAATTACATCAATTTCTGTGACAAAACACACGTATATACTCGTAATTTGCGTATACATATATAGCTGAATTGTTGTGATCTATATATGTCCATTAAATTGGTACTCCTGATGACTTGTTGCATTTTATAAAACAAAATTAACCTGTTTATACAAATAAAAAAAACTAATTGATGCTTTTAAAATTACTCTTTTTCACAAATACCCTTTACTCTTTTCTCTCCTCATTAATCAAAAGCAGCCCTTTTGAAAGGCATCATTTTGGGGGGAAACATAGATTAATTGTTAATATTAAGATTTTACAAAAACAATTATACATGGGAGTACTAAACCTTTTAAATTTTATCTTATAATGAACCATTGAAGAAGGGCGCCTTTAGAATTTTAAAATTTTTTAGACATTTCCTTTAATATATGTCATGCATAATTTTTTTTAGTGAGATATTATAGATATTAATAATAATTATGCGGTGGTGACTAGTGATTGTATTGTATATATGAGATTAAAATTATACAATTATTATATATAATTGGTATGACATGTAGAAGCATCTTGGGTTTCGTTACATTTAATCAATTCCTTACCCACTCTACTCTTCATTATTCTAATACCTAAACTTGTATAATCAAAACATTTCACGAATGATTAGTGATCGAACAATTCAGTACTATCCAAACAAATGTCATTAAATGAATTTACGTATTAATTATTGATCGAAGATCAACTCAATTTTTATTTTTCTCTAACGACAGAAATTATATGGAAACATAGAAATTCATCGAAAAACTTTTATATTGTGAGAGGACGGGTCTAAGCTGACCTATGCATAAGATAGTGATTTAGTGAACCATCACATGCTCTTGTAGGTATAGCATTGAAGCTCATGGCCCCAAAATAAGAACATTTAAACTTACACAATAATAATTTCCAAAATTTCATTGAAAAGACCATTACCAACCAAAAAAAAAACTACCAAGTATTATAAATAAATTCCCCAAAAAGAAGCAAATTCTATTCTTATGATTAACTTCTTGTTTTTGGCTGGAACAAAACTTTAGTAGATTCCTGACCGTCAGCTTTGATCTGGACTTTAATTTCCTTGCTGTGCATATGCTTGCACATTCCCTAATCATAACAAATGCCAGTAAATATAAATTAAATATCTGTGATTCAAACACGATTCAAGAAAGAGAAAATCAAAGCTTTTTAAACTCAAAAGCAAATCATTTTCATCGTGTTATAGAGAGAGAGAGAGAGGCATCTATTCCATTTGGCTTTAAAACTCTGAGGTTAATTAAGGCCAACAAAGGCACATGAAATGGTTTATTTATAATGTGAAACAAACAGCAAAATGATGTCCGTAATACAAGCAAAATATACTTGTACACAAATATTATGTGATTTCTCTACCTCTCTCTCTCTATATATAGAGAGAGAGAGGCATATTTATATGAATGTGTAGAGCAATAATTTAACACCATGTCATCTTTTGCATCATTTTTGATAGATGTTTACCTACCTTGCTTCTCCCATTAAACCTCCCTCTCTTGAATATTGTTTTGAATTACTAATTTATCCCTTCATAACTTATCTCTTTAATATTGGTTTCTTTTTTTTTTTTTTGTCCCAATTTGATTATATATATAATGCTAGCTATAGAGCCCATAAACACACATACATATATATATATATATATATATATATATTCAGCTAGATGGTGGGATCAACTGCTTTAAAAAGAGCCATTTTCAAACTAAAGAAACCAGAACTAACACATCCTAATGCTGATAAATTTGCACTTATCTCATGAATAATTATTCGGGTCCCACCCCCTCGCCCACTCTCTTGCATTATATCTTGCTTGTTCCATTTGTCATGCCCTTCAATAATTGAGTTCTTTTTTGCAAGGATAAATCCCATTTTTTTGGGATTTAAACATATTATCCTGGCTCCAGGTTCATACTTGCAAAATTAATTTTTATTAATTATATAAGCTACGCAATAATGCTCATTTTTTAAGTTAAAATAATGATGTATGCATTGATTAGTGTTCATGAGTTCACATTCTAATAAGCTTCTCTATTCATTCTTCTTTCTTCTATATCCTCAAAATAGATGACTGTGTACAACGGTGTGCACAATAATTAATATTATATTTTTGGTAAATAAAGCCACAAAAAATAATTGGGTCATAAAGTCCACCACGTTGAAGCACGTTGTGGGGTCATTACTATAGTTAATGGGAGTATATATTCAATCAACCAAAATATTAAAATATGCCCACTTTATCCCTTTCTCTTCCACATATATTATCTGGCCAATAATTAAATTCGCAAGAAAAAAGAGGGAAGAATTAATTAACACAATAACTCAAACTAGCAAATTAAATCATTGGCAACAATCACACCTCAAAATACACATAGATCAGTACAGATGCAAATGGTCCCTAAAAAACTTCAAATAATTGGCAAATAATTAGCCATCAAAAAATTCATTCTATTTATTATGTTAGGTTGAGCCTAACTGAATTTGTCACCAAGTTATTTTCCATTCATAAATGGTCTTTGCCTTTATAAAGTGACCTTCATCTGACTAAATACGCCTCCATCCCTTTACATAATTCATCATTATCTCAACACACTTAATTAATATATTATTATATCGATTAATTAATTGAAAAAATGTTTCTTAACCAACTACAAAACTCTACGAGTTTATCAAACCATTGATGATCCCCCATTGAAACCAACCCACGTGGCTCCATCAGCATCCAAAGTTTGCTCGAATCATTAAAAAATTATTAGATAAATTTCTGAGTTCATATGTGTAGTCTTGTTTTCTTTTTCATTTTAGGGTTGGTGATGTTCCATTTTGATGATTTGATTTCATTGCATATTTATGCGCATCATCAAGCAGTTTGAGTCTCTGAAAATTAAAATGGTAAAGAAAGACCGAAAAGAATAGTTGATAAAGTTATTGAAGATGATTTTGGGTTAACAACTTTTAAAGATTTGATCATCGACGGAGTTTAATGTGGTCATATGATTCATGTAATTGATCCCACCTGAGAAGATAAGAATAGGGGAAATCCTTTGATCACTTGGACTGATGAAATTCATGATCAAGAGTGTTGAAGATGTTAATCTCGGGGGTGATTTGGTAATTTGAGACTCCCCCAACATTCAGCAATTACCAAAGCTGACCTACAGACGGATGGGCCACACCTTGTTATCAACATCGTCGCTATCTAGCAGGCTGTTCCCACTACCACAGTTAAAATTCCCAAAATACATTTTATTTAAATAAAATTTCATCCCTCTAATTGTATCGTTGTTTTTATTTTTGTTCGTTATCATAATTAGTTTTTTACTTTTTTTTTTTAAATGTACTATATAGTATAAATTATTCCTTCCTCTTCTTTTCCTTCCCTTTTTTCAACACTTACGTACGACTCACATAAGAATAATAAAGAACCCTTGCCTTGTGATTCATTTTCAATATTCAACGGAAAAGAAAAAAGACATAAAATAAGAGAAGATTCCGTGGCCTAATAAATTAAATTAAGGAACACATAATACACAGAGAAAGAAAAGTTGCTTGAGCTAAATTTAAGCATAATTTTCCAAATTTTATATGATGAAATTGACAGAGAGATGCCACCTAAAAATAAACAAATATATTAATTCACCTCCTTCTGATCTCTCTCTCTGCACGCTCCATCCATAGGCATAAATAAAATCCCTGCGAGGAGTATTCACCTTGTTTTCTGATTATTCTTTTCTCATCGATCAGCTGTAATTGCTTACCCAAAACTCCCTCTCTCTTTCTCTCTCCCTCATCTCTGTATGCAGCTGGGAGATCCAAGTGTGTTAGAGACCCCATCCGGCGAGCCCATGATGGCCACCGTGACGGCGGCTGCGGCGCCACCAGAAGCAACGGCCTCTGATGGTGGTGCAGAAGTCGAGATGATGGATAATATTGTCGGAATGGATGCAGCGAATTCAGGTGATGATATTGATCAGAAGAGAAGTGGCGGCGGTGGAGGAGGAGGAGGAGGAGGCAACCGGTGGCCTCGCCAAGAAACTTCTGCTCTATTGAAGATAAGGTCAGATATGGACGCTGCGTTTCGGGATTCCAGTCTTAAAGGTCCACTTTGGGAACAAGTTTCAAGGTATATATATAAATAATTAAGTTGAATTGTAAATCATTATTCCATGTTTGATACCTCTCTGTCTGCTCCCTCTTTTATAATTTTGAGCAGGCAAGTAGTAAACTGAAATGAAACTGCTCATCCTTCAAGTTCTTGCGTGATCTATCTCCATGATTACGATTTCCAAATCTAATGGTTTTCAAACTCATTTCCAATCTTATTTTTCTGGGCAAAAAATTCCACTCTTTCTTACATAATACTCCTCCGGTCCTAAATGTAAGACCCTTATACTAGAGAGTATAAGGGTCTTACATTTAGGACCGGAGGAGTATATGCATATGCATGGAAGATGAAATTTAATTTCTCTCAGCACTGGATCTTGTTTCTCGGCCGCCAATATGATTGCTTCATCTTAATTTTCTGCTTGAGATTTGGTAAGAATCAAACGGAGTCATCATTCTGCCTTTCTATTGATGAGCTAAAGAAGAGTAGATTTCGCGATATAGATTAATGAATCATTCTGCATAATATATGAGAATCTTGTCCGAGCTTACTTAATTACTCAAGCTTTGTGAAAGTTTTCTGTATGTATTGTCTTCCTTCTTGGATTGTAACCCCTTGTTCATTAATGAGTACCCTTTTAGGTATGAAACCAACACAATATATTTTTTATTTAATATCAGCATCCTGAGAGAAACCAGTAAATGCTCGCTTTAGATTTAGTTTTTCCCTATTTGAACGAAAGCAGTAATTTTTTCTAATAATGGAAAGCGTTTTTTTTTTTTCTGTTATATACTTTTTTATGTATATCACTTTGTACGTATATACATAGGAAAATGGCAGAACTTGGATATAATCGAAGCGCAAAGAAGTGCAAGGAAAAGTTCGAGAACGTATACAAGTACCACAAGAGAACCAAAGAAAGCAGAAGTGGTAAACCAGAGGGCAAAACCTACAAATTCTTCGATCAATTACAAGCCCTTGAAAATAAATTCACTGTCTCTCACCACACTCCTCTAAAACCTCCTCCGCCACAACCGCAACCTTCTTTCCAAATGTGGCCTAGCAATATTAATAATGATCCTACCACAGCTATCTCTTACGTCACTGCTATTCCATCCACCGTAAACCCTACTGTTGTTCCTCCGCCACCGGCGCCGACGAATGTTGCTGCTGCCACCATCACCAACCCTAAGAATTTGTCAAACAAGAGCATTTTCTCTTCTGTCACGACCACCTCGACCTCATCGTCAACTGCTTCTGATGAGGACATGGAAGAGAAGTACAGAAAGAAGAGAAGGATGAAGGACTACTTCCGCAGGCTGACGAGGCAGGTGTTGGCAAAGCAGGAGGAGATGCAGAAGAGGTTTCTAGAAGCCATTGAGAAGAGAGAGCGTGAAAGAGAAGCACAGATAGAAGCTTGGAGAGCTCAAGAGATGGCCAGGATCAATAGAGAGCATGACATTCTAGTCCAGGAAAGATCCACCGCAGCCGCCAAGGACGCCGCCGTCATTGCTTTTCTCCAGAAGTTAGCCTGTGGCCAGCAAAATCCGGCACCGCCACCGCCTCCTCCTCCGGCTCCACCTCAACCTGTAATGCAAGCAGTAGAACCTCGAGAACAACTGCAATTGCTGCCTATTGACAACAAGTTTGAAATCCAGAAAACGAATATAAACAACGGCCATAATAGTCCGGTGAGTGTTTCTAATTCTTCTTCAAGGTGGCCAAAGGCGGAAGTTCACGCATTGATAAGGCTAAGGACGAGCATGGACCCAAGGTACCAAGAGAATGGACCGAAAGGACCATTATGGGAGGACATATCAGCTGGAATGCAGAGGCTAGGGTACAATAGGAGCGCCAAGAGATGCAAAGAGAAGTGGGAGAACATCAACAAGTACTTCAAGAAAGTGAAGGAGAGTAACAAACAAAGGCGTGAGGATAGCAAAACTTGTCCTTATTTTCATGAGCTCGAGGCTCTTTACAGAGAGAAGAGCAAAAGCCACAACAGTATCGTCTTCGGTGCCGGCAATCCGAATCACGAAATGACCATGGAGCCGTTGATGGTGCAGCCGGAGCAGCAATGGAGGCCGCCTCCGCCACATGCGGAGGAGGAGGAAGGTGGTGGTGAGAGGGATAATATTGCGAATATGTTTCAGTACGAAGCGAAAGAAAGAGCGGGAGAAGAGGAGGAGGAGATGGAAGAAGACGATGATGTTGTGGAGGATGAAGTTATGGAAGATGATCATCAAGAAGAAGGACGTTATGAGGTTGCAGCGACAAATAATAAACTTCCTTCAGTGGACAGTGTTGAATGAGCCGACAAGATAAGGCAAGTTTCTGATTGGAGGAGGATAAGCCTTTTGATTTTATTTCTTTATTATTATTACACTAACAATTTTAGTCTTTAAATTGTGAGAATCATGTAATTTTTTTTTATCTTTGAAAGTGAATGATAGCGCGATCAAGTCGGCTTTTAAAAATAAAAAATATCATTGTAGATTGATAGCATGCAAATATCAAAAAGCTTGATGTGATGCGAGCTGAGTTAGATTTCAAGAAGTCCCTTTTTAAGGATTAAGATTAAACATTTCCAACAATCAATCAAGACATTAATTGTTAGTATTATCTTGGTATATGGTTTTGAATAAGAGTGGGGATAAGTTGAGTTCTTCATCTATAGGATTCTATTTTGGAAAAAATTATTCAGTGAAATAAAATAATATTGCCTCCGGGCCCTGAAAGACTTCATTTATAGTCTGCGAAAAAGATCTTATAATTAGAACTGGATGTAATATTTATTACAAATCTCAAAATAATATAATAAATGAAAGTTGGATCTCCTATCCGTTGTACTTGATCCACTTTTTGTTTTTGGGGATTGTGAAGTGTCACCCTCAAGCATGGTCATAACTCATAACAAATCATCAATATAAAAAAGATAAAAATTAATAAAATTTTATATTTCATTATTAAAAATTTTAATCCACCTTCTTCTATGTTAAAAGCGAAACCAAAAGGGGAAAAAAATAACGGGCAAAAATAATTCAAATCCTTTGATTCTTACGATGCCCCGTCTGGAAAGCAAGGGCTTCTGGCGGCCGCATATGGTACTCATGTTGCGGGTGCGTGGGAGGGAAGAGGTGGGAGGGAAAAGTTTAGATCTTTCAATCCCTTTCTATTTATAGTTGAATTAATCTTTTAGAATGAGGAGAAAATGTGACATAAAAAGGGCACTAACTACTTCTCCGGTCTTTAATATAAAAAGTGAGTAATTGTTAAGTTAATTTTAATCCTAAATATAATACCTATTTCTCATATTTATCAATTTTTATTAAAATTATCTCTATGAATACTCGCTCAACCATAATCAAGTAAGTGGAGGATGAAAGATATTAAGAAAGATAATTATAGTATTTAGAAAAATCATATCATATTTTTTATAATTAACTAGCTTATCTAACTTTTTAATCTAATCAAATTACTTAAATAGGTCTTATATTAAAGACCGGAGGAGTTTTTTTTTTAATATTTACATGCCAGTAAAAAAAACTCAATATTTACATGTCAAATTTAATAATTTATAATTGGTTGGGGCGTGTGGATAATTAATATGCTTATTGAAGTTCTATATGTAACTCAGAAAAATAATAAACTTTTCATTTTATTTTCACTCAATACTCTCTCCATTTCAAGGATTGAGCATATTAATTAATTAAAAGAAGTAAGTACTTTACTAATTTTAAAATCCCTGTATGGATATTTTAAATAAAATACATAAAATACCTTACATATACACTGAAACAGAGAAGTTGCTAAAACACGTCTGATATCTAAATGGAAGAATAACTCAATGCACACAAAAAAAAAAAAAGTGACCCCAGTTGATCCGATAATACTTGAAGTTAACCATATCAGATAAAGATAATCATATTTAAAAAAAGATAACTCAAGTTGTAAGAAGCTGACAATACATAAAAGAGATGAGAAAGTGGGGGGAAGGGTCAGATTGCGGCGGGAATAAGAGATAAAAGAGAAAGGAAGAGGGCACATGGGCCAGCAAAGCAGACCTCAACTGCAACTACTTCTTGTCTTCTCCCCAAAGATACCTCCCCTCCCCTCTTCATCTCACTCCATCCATCTTTCCTCGTTTCGCAGCTTTTAAACTCACAATTTCATAATTTAAAAAAAAAAATTAAAGAAGGCGTTTAGTATCATTTAGGTTACAAGGCACTGACCCTATAATTTTTCTTCTCCTTCTTTTTTTTTAATTAGTTATTCTGTAATTGTTTGAAAATATTGATGTACAAAGTATACATATTAGTAGCAATTGTGGCTTAGTTATTATGAGACAAGGAGTACGAAGAGGGATGGCAGCAGCCACATGAGATTAGAGAAAACCATGAAAAGGAATAAATAATGTTTAATGTATTAAATTTGGGTTAGTGACACACACACACACACATGAAAATATATATATATGTGCCTCTTTAATTTTTTCCCTCAACTTTCCATGACCCAAGACCAGGAATCTTCTATGTTATATCATTCATATTACTCCAAATCTCTTACTATTTTGTATTTGTTTGTGTGTTGACTTCTTCTTCTTTTTCTCATAAACATCAATATCATTATTGATCACTTGTTTTGCAAGTTGAAGATTTTAATGACCTGACAAACAAGGAAGAATGAGCCGATACAAAGAATGTGTGTATACAGATGATTATTCTTCGAGAGATAATTATAATCTGTTCAAATTTACCAATCCAGCACTATTGTCAGTGCGCTATCCCCATTTGAGCATATGCCTGTACATTAGGATCATCACTATATAAATAAAAATTCCCTTATATATATATATATAGTTAGATATCATACTATTTAGATATAATAAACAATACAAGTTATCTTAATTAGACTTATTCATGTAAATACGTGAACTCTCTTTAATTAAAAGAAAAAAGTACTAAAAGATATTATTTTTTAATTTAAGGGAGTGCGCACTAATAATTTAAGATTATAAAGAAATTAAACCCCGATCTCTCACTTATAAAAAAGTTTACATGTTATTAAATTATTAGGCCACTGGCTGCACTAAATAAGACTTTGAATGTAAATACTCACTCAAACAGATCAACTCCTTCATATATGAAAGATGGGCCGACTCTTTACCAACCCGTTTGAAGGCCCAATACATGGGAAACCTTCCTTTTTTAGAAAAAGGATGGGTTGTGTTTGATTCAATCTTTTTTAATTTATTAATTACTCTCCTCCTCTCTTTTTATTTATTCTTTTACTTCTTTTTTATGGTGAGATTTTAGGTTTAATTTCAAATGTTTCTTCTTCTGCTTCACATAAAAGGAGTTCCGTAGCAGAGAACTGTTCCCGTATTAGATATGGCAAATACTAATCAACCTTAATCAACCTCGATGTTGCAACTAAATCCAAATAAATTAATGATTGCAACAAAGTTGGATTAAGCCACTAACCTATTGCTTTACCATCAAATCTCATCATTATAAAATCTTAAAAACAAAAATTAGCACACGCGTCATTTTCAACTAAGACAGCGTACTTTAATTAGCATGATCCACCCTTAATTATATTTATTTCATCTAATAATAATAATAAAACAACAAACCCATTTCGAGGATCACCAAGTCTTGACCAATTTTGTTGCCCTATCCCTTCCAGATCATCACATTCCTCCGATCAAAGCTTTGAAATCACACGCCATTAATAGACAAACCATGATCTTGTGGTGACCTTTTAAGAGATTACTTAGTGATTATTAAATAAACATATTTGCTAAAGCTAATGACAGAGACGTCACTGCCTTTTTATTTCAGTGTTTAAATGTGAATATCATATTCAACAGAAGCTAAACAGTAGCCTTCAGAATATGCATATATGGTCCCTTGCTGTTCATCATAGCTACACTGGACCACATCTATCTTAAACAAAGATGAGCTTTAATATATATAGATATATATTAAATATTTGTTGTCAGACTTTTTGATAAAAAAATATATAACACAAATTTATATATTTTCCAATCTGACGCCATGTTATTACTTAACAAGTTGAATTGCAGAACTACATATTCTTTTGAATTTTAATAACTATTTGCATGTGATCCCAAATTGAAGGAGATATTAATGATCTGTTTATAGCTCACACTAAGTTAAATTAATCATTACAAAAAAGAAAGGGTTATTGACACAGTTTAAGAATTTAGGAAAATTCATTAACAACTTTTTATTTTGCGCATTCATGGATAAATTTTTTTTTTCAAAAAAAAATTGTGCATTACAACTTTATGTCCTTATTTCTTGAAAGAGATCTTTAGGCATTATTTAAATTCCTCAAGTCTCAAAAAGAGCATCTGATTTTGGGAATGATGCTGCTATCCTCAGTCTCGTTCAATTTGTTTTTATTTATATATAAAATGTATTTGTGTCAAACTCACAAGCATCACGCGCATGCATATTTTAAACTTTGGTCAAAGCTTCGTATAATAGTATATTATGTAAATATAAATTAGCGTATGATTAGCTACATCTTAATATAAAAAAATTGATAGTTTAACTCTAAGTGCATGACAAAATAATCCTAATATAACAATAGATAAGTTAATCTAAATTTGCTGTTGGAAATTAAATCAAACAGCAAAGATCCCTTTCCCAACGACTAAAAATTCCTCAAGAATCTCTAGTGGACAACATGCCAAGGGTTGATTTTGACTTTCTTCTAAAGTTGATGCTTAACCCATTTTCTTGGAACCATTAAAATTTTCCCTGGAGAAGCTCTTGAGGAGAGAAAATGTTTGTATAGCTGCACCCCAATGTAGGTCTTAGTTATTTGGAAATTATAATGGATGGGTTTGACCTTAGATTAGGGTCATTGTCATGAAAATATGTACCGTAGTGTACAATTTCTCATTATATGAATGTGAGAGAAGAGGAGCTAACACAAAATCCAAGAGCCAAAACAGCATAGAAAAAATAGGAGCAGTATTTTGTTCCCCACACTATCGCTTTTGAAAAAAAAAATGTTTTTTTATTATTTAAAATTTCAAGATAACGTTAATCACTATATTTTTTCGATCATACCATTAGGGAGCAAGACATAGATAAATATAGAGAGAGTTGATGAAAAGTGTGGATTTAAAAATAATCACATTAACCATATATCTTAATTTGTGTGTTAAAAAACAGGGTGATACATATTCATGTCTATCAAAAATTAAAGAAGCTAAATTGGTTTAACTAAAAAAGATCAACAATGTCAAGATTAATGATCCCTAATTGTCAATTAAGGCATGCTACAAGCCAGAGATCTATAGAAAAAAGTAGGACAACTAGTAGGACATCCACGATTTAAAAGAGTAATAGTTAACTAATGAATTAATTAAACGGTCATATTTTGCGGCATTCAAAACTATTATATATTGGTCTCTCTCTTCTTCTTTTTTTTTCCATTCCTCTCTCATTTATGTTTTCTTAGTGCTGCAATTTTCACGCTCTATCAGTGTTTTAACATATTGTGGCA